GCGCCCTCTTTATCGCTCTACTTTCCACATGTCCACCCTGTTTACTTCGAATCGCATTTTTTACTCATTTTTACGTCACAATTGCGTGCGCCTTTCCAGAAAATTTTCAGGTTTGCAGTTATTTGTTTTAATTAAATAGAAACTTTGCAAAAAAATTATTTGCGTCCTTTATATCTTGATGTTCAATCAACTAATCCTGTAGTAAGTATTTCAATGCAGGAAACTTTAAGGATCCTCGCGTTCTTGACGCCATGTTGCCTCATTTTATCGGATCTTTTGGCAACCCCCACTCTCGCACTCATGCTTACGGATGGGAAAGCGAATTATTTGTCGAAAAATCTAGAAAGGTTTGTTTAACCTGGAATGTATCTTATTTTAGCAAGTTGCTGACCTGATTGGAGCAGACCCTAAAGAAATTATATTTACAAGTGGAGCAACTGAAAGCAACAACATTGCGGTCAAAGGCGTAGCACGGTTTTATGCGGCTAAGAAGAAGCATATAATCACCACTCAGACTGTACTTCTTTTCTTTTTATATTTCACATTAGGAACACAAATGTGTTCTAGATTCTTGTCGCGCTCTCGAAAACGAAGGCTTTTCTGTAACCTACTTAGAAGTTCAGCAAAATGGTATCATAAGACTTGAGGTATTGCTTCTATATTCGAAATATTCTGACTTAGGATTTAGCCAAAGTTATTCGACCAGATACAAGCCTTGTTTCTATAATGGCGGTGAATAATGAAATTGGTGTAATCCAGCCTCTCGTAGAAATAGGGGCTCTTTGTCGAAGTAAAAATGTTTTCTTTCATACTGATGCTGCACAGGGTATTGGTAAAATTCAATTAGATGTTAATGAAATGAATGTGAGTATTTATTTTCAACTTCCTTAACGATTTATTGCCTTTTGACTCGATTTTAATTGCGAAATTTTATGCCATTGTGCTTATTTCTTTTAACTGGGGTGAATTTTTGATCGATACACTTGGTCCTATTTTGCCGTTAATTCATTTTTTTGGTCCTATAAAAGATTTCCAAATAATGTATCCCTATTGCTTTGTTTAATTTTTAGTTTAAATTCAATGAGCCTTTGCAAATTTTTTATTTCTTGAGTCTCAGTTGCTGCAAATTACGTTCTGCTCAATTTTGGTTACGTTAAAACTGTCCATACTATTTCATTTTATTTTTTCTAAGCATATTTTAATAAGATTATAGTCAGCCTTATTTGAGTGCTTTCTTACTTTTAATGTATCCTCATAAGGCATAATTCATAGTAATTTCTTATGAGCCTTCCTGTAAGAAGGA